GTCGGGCAGTGGTTGGGGCCGTGGATACAGTGGGGAGAGTGGAACCGTGGTGGGAACAGTGGTGGGGACAGTGGGGACAGTGCGACAGTGGTGGGGGCACTGGTGGGGACACAGCGGGGACAGCGGTGGTGAGGACAGTGGTGCTGGAAACAACAGTGGAGGATGTGATGCGGACGGTGGTAGGGACCGGGAGTCGTTTGCTGGCGGTGAGTGGGGGTGTGGGGAGGGGTCCGAACCGGTAGTGATCCCCCTACGTTTTCGAGGGGGCAGGGGGGGTGGGTTCCGAACTGGTAGTGATCCCCCGGGTTGTTTTCCGGATCCGGAGGGGGGGGGGGGGGGAGGGGTTCGAACCGGTAGTGACCCCCCCCGGTTTTCGAAGGGGGGAGGGGGTAACTTTATTTTTGTTTTGGGGGAGGGGTTCAGGAAGGGGGGGGTTTGCCGGGTGGAGGGGGGGGGGGGGGGGGGGGTCCAGCAGGGGGGGGGCGGATTTGGGAGGGGGGGGGGGGCGACGTAATGAAAACCCCTCTTGGGACCATTAGACGAGAGGTCCGCCTAGGCCATCTAAGCGATCTAGCGATCTAGGTTTGCTGGATCACGGTGGGGGGACGGGAGGGGTGGGCGTGGGGCGGGGGATACAAGGAACGACGGCGGCGATGGGAGGAGGGAGGAGGAAGCATATGAGGAGGAGGAGGAGGAGGAGGAGGATGGAGGAGGAGGAGGAGGAGGAAGGAGGAGGAGGAGGAGGAGGAGGAGACGAGGAGAGGAGGAGGAGGAGGAGGGAGGAGGAGGCGAGGAGGAGGAGGAGGAAGGTGAGGAGGAGGGGAGGAGGAGGAGGAGGACGAGGTGGATTAAGAGGCCAGGCGAGGCGAGGCGCCGACATACGTCCCGAAGGACGGCCATTTGAGAGCGCGGCGGGGGCGCCGGAGCGCCGATAATTCAATGGACCAGACAATGGATTTCCCGCTTCATTACAACACTCTTTGAATAATGATTTCCGCATGTCTTCGCATCGTGCTTTGGATAGGAGGGGGAGGAACAGGAGGAGGAGGAGGAGGACGACGACGATGACGGCGACGACGAGGATGACGACGATGACGATGACGACGACGACGACGACGACGACGAAGATGACGACGATGACGATGACGACGACGACGACGACGAAGATGACGACGATGACGATGACGACGACGACGACGACGACGACGACCTAGACGACCTAGACGATGACCGTCGGTTTTCTTCTGAAGCCAGAGACTTATGTTCGTCACCATCGTCGTCATTATTGCCACTACCGTAACCATTTTTGCTCAAGTGGTCGGTTCGCTGACCGAAGTACTAGTGTCATTCGCCTCGCCGCAGAAGTGGATGTCTACGTTTAGTTGTTCAGGGATTCTCGGTGTTGCGCGATTGTTTGCAGCCAGACACTCTGTGGCGCTGCAGGAAGTTAGCGGCCGCAGCGCCCAGGCGGCATACTATCAGAGCTTGGATGGGGACAACCTGTTGCCCGATGTGTTTGTGAAGTACTATGTTATGAATCAGCAGGGCGACGCCGCTGATGTACATGTTCGCAGATCCGCAGCAGCGGTGCTCACGATCTGCAAAATAAACGAGGAATACACAGACCCGCAGACTGTTCTCTGTCTTCGCATCATCGACAAAGTCAGGGCGAAGTCGTTCGAAAGGCGCATGGCCGCCGCAGTGTGTGCTACGATCAATGGCCGTTCTTTTTTGAAGGAGCTGTTAAAGAAACTTGTCGGAGAGGGTTGGACAGGCGCCCAATTTTGGGAAACCGCTCATACGTTAGTGCGCAACAAAGATCCCGAACAGCTTTTCACTGGCGCGTTCAACAAGCAGGCGTTCAACTCAAAAAGCAAGCGCGAATTAGCGAACAAGCGTCTGATTCGAATCAGGGACAAAATGAATCAATACATCAATTTCGATGACGCCTCGCGCCTGCAAGTGTCACTGGATCTGGTGAAAGTCTGTGGCAAATCCTTGGGCAAGAACGCTTTTTTCTCTGCTGGAGCAGTCCTACGCGAACAGGTACCGCCGTCCAGGGTGGCGCTCGCAACGCGGGACGCTCATGGGCCCAGGTGCTGTGGCGGGCGTCAACATCATCAGCGGGATGTGGAAGCAGAGCGGGACGGGCAGCGCCATGCTCGGGGATGTGCTGCAGCAGTGGGACGAGTCTCACGATCATATGGAGGAGCTGCGTCGTCTATTCCGGAATGACTTAAACTCTCTCCGCACGTTTGCCAGGAAGTCGCGCGGTGAGAAGCGGGCCTTGGCTGGGGAGCTATGCGATGCTTTGGAGCACCTTCTTGGTATGTCTGATGCAGGTTTGCAGTTTGTGTACTGTGAGATAGCAAAGGTCGTCACACTTAACTACAACCTTCACAAGCGGTACTGGCGCCTGAGCAAGCTCCGCGGCGACGTGGGCAACGCGGCCGGCAGCGAGGGCGAGGGGGATGGCCACGAGAGCGACAACGACGACTGAGCCTGCCAGAAACAGAGCCAAAAAACAAGCGAAAGACCAGGCGACCCGCCAAGAAAAAGCACACACACACAAACAACCTCTTGCCCATTAAAGCTTTTTGGAGGCCTGGAACCTGGTAGTGGGCAAAAGCGTTCGGGTTGTTTTGGCCTCGCTAATTGTGTCTCGAGACCCGACAGAAGGCCGTGGCGACCAGATAGCACCGCCACAGAAAGCAGGAACCGATCCCAGGGGAAATCCAACGATTCGGCCCGCAAACACCAAAAAACGCTGTTGCCCGCTAAGGCTTTTTCAGGGTCAGAAACCTGGTAGTGGGCAAAAGCTGTTCGGCTTGATTTGAGCGCATTCGAATGGCTGGCGCCACTCCGCCGAACACTCAGAAGAAGTGGGTGCTTGCGACAATATTGGGGATTATCAGCTGGGTCAGGAGCTCATTGTATACGTATGATGGGTATCTCGGGGTGCTCCTCAAAGGCTTCTCGAAGGGCTCTGGGGATCTTCTCGGGGGCTTCGTGGGATCTGGGATCCAGGGATTCGGAGCTCAAGCACGAAAAACGCTCTTGCCCACTAATGCGTTTTTAGAGCCAGAAGCCAGGTAGTGGGCAAGAGCTTTTCGAAGGGCTCTGGGGGGCTTATTGGGGTCTTCTCGGGGGCCCGTCGTCGTCGACGCCAGCGCGTGAGGCATCTATGCGCAGTATCATCGCCATCTTTGCTACCGTCGTCGCAACCGCTGTGGCTCGACCGCGGAGTGGCCCCACCTCGCTCTCGCGGCGCCCTTCGGGGGCGAGGGGGAGCGCCCAGCGCGGGCGCGGCCAGTTAGAGCGCGCTCGGGGGATGTCCTGGGACGAGCGGGATCGGCGGGGGCGGAGCCGCAGCCCGCGGCCGAGCCCGCGGTCGACACCTGCGCCGTCGGCAAGCACGGCGTACTCCCCAGGCAAGTACAAGGAGAGCGTATTCCAGAAGTTCGGCCGCAGTTCAAGTGCTTTCGCGGACCGTTTCACGGCGGTGGTCGACGACGTCGACATGGGCGATGAGGAGATGTCGCTGAACGATCAGGTCGAGAAGACGCACGCTGCCGTGAAGAAGCTGGTGGAAAGGAACGTCGAGCGCTTCGGGAAGAAGTATGATGAGCTGTGCGTCGTGAAGACCATTGTCGACGAGATAGAACGGGGCGGCGTCCGCGTCCACGATCTCTTCCTCCTGCGCACGTTCATGGCCGTCTTCGGTGGGCCGAAGAGCCCGCGGCGCGCGCGCGACGGGCAGGCGTATCGGCACGACAACGGAGCTTGGAAACATGCCGCCGCGATGAACGTCCAGCAGGCGCTGCGGTTGGAGAACGCAGTGAACCAAGCTGATGCGATCTTTCTTCGCATGAGCAAGGACAAGAACGTGAAGCGCCCGTCGTGGGACGAGGGGTGGCTCGTCGACTACCGCAGCCCCGCTGCGGCGTTGCAGGCCGACGTGGACGACGACCCTGATGAGAGCTTCTCGATCGCGCGCAAGATGCCCCGCGAAACGTTGACGAGGTTTCTTAGTCCTGGGAACAACAACATTCTCAAGACGTTCTGCAAGTGGTGCGACCAGAAGAAGCGAGCGGAGCCTCGTCTGGCGTTCAAGGACGCGTGTTTGGAGATCCAGCCTGGCAAGGCAGCGAAAGAGATCAAGAAGGGCCCCGAGGTCAACTGCTACGCGTACATGGACCTGTCCATCAAGTACAAGCCGCCCGCAGCCGACGTGGACAGGTACGACCTCATGATGGCCACGCTGTACGGGAGCGACGTAGAATCCAATGAGATCGAAGTCCTCGGCGAGGCGTTGGCCCTCATGCACCAGCGCCAGCCACCTCGCGTGCGCGTTCGGAAGGGCAAAGGCCAGGCGCTCAGGATCGGTCGGTATTGATATCATGTTGCGGTCTACGCGATCTAGCGATCCAGAGATCTAGGTTGGCTAGATGGCGGCCCGTGCGATCTATGCGACCCATGCGATCTATGCGATCTATGCCATCTATGCGACCTATGCGATCTTGCGATCTAGAGATCGATGCGGTCTATGCGATCTATGCCATCTATGCGATCTATGCGATCTATGCGATCTAGGTCGCATAGATCGCACAGATCGCATAGATCGCATAGGCGGGTCTCCTTTGCCAAATGGTCCAGGGGCGACCTAGATCGCATAGATCGCACAGACCACATAGATCGCTGGACCTCACAGGTCTCGGGATCTGTGCGATCTATGCGATCTATGCGATCCATGCGATCTATGCGATCTATGCGATCTATGCGACCTATGCCATCTATGCGATCTATGCCATCTATGCGATCTATGCCATCTATGCCATCTATGCGATCTATGCGATCTATGCCAGCTATGCGATCAATGCGATCTATGCGATCTATGCGATCTAGGTCGCATATATCGCATAGATCGCATAGGCGGATCTCCTTGGCTAAATGGTCCAGGGGCGACCTAGATCGCATAGATCACATAGATCGCATAGATCGCATAGATCGCATAGATCGCATAGGTGGCACAGATCGCATAGATCGCATAGATGACATAGATCGCATACATAGATCGCATAGATGGCATATACCGCATAGATGGCATAGATCGCATAGATCGCATAGATGGCATAGATCGCATATATGGTATAGATCGCACAGATCGCATAGATCGCATAGATCGCGCAGGTCGCATAGATCGAGTAAATCCCCCAGGTGGCAACGGCAAGTCGCTGCGCTCGGAGCTGACCTTGGCGCGCTCGGCGAGACCATGGTGAAGTTCGCCAGCACGTACTTACTCACCAGAGACAGAGAGTTTCAAGTCTCCGCCAAGCGTCTCATCGGCGCCACGGCCGTGATCTTTCAGGAGGTGCAGAGGGGCGAGAAGATCCCTGAGGTTGTTGCCAAAAACTTGTTCGCCAGGGCAGAGCTGCTCGTTCGTGAGAATCACGGGAAGGCAGAGGATGAGCGTTATTATGCGTGGACGTTCGCGGACTTTGTCATCGAGCTGAATCACGCGTTCCGCATCGAATGCGACGATGATGCGGTTCACGCGTGGCGGCGCCGTCTGCTGCTAATCGCCTTCGGGGGCGACTTCACTCGCAACGCTAGCTTGGTTTTGGTTGAGCGCGGCCTCTTCTTGGCTGACCCCGAGCTGGAGGAATGGGCCTCATCTGGCGTGGCAGGTTTCATCCACATGACCCGAGGTATCCTGCCCATCATTGAGAAGTACTCGGCGACCGCGGCCTACGACATGCTGGACAATCCCTCTCCCGCGCGCACGGCAATGAACGAGGAGTTTCTGAATGACATCAGGGCGTCGGACGGCCGCGACGCAGCTGGCTTGGCAGGGGGGCCTCGTGGCCACAGCGGCCAGGCGGGCGCCGCAACGGACCCCCTCCGCCAAGCCTCCACGCTCCTCGCCGTCATGCATCTCGACGAGGACACCTGCATGACGGACAGCGACCGAGAGCGCGCGAAGGCGGGGGCTTGCATCAAAGGGGGGCGCCAGGCTGATAAGAAGGAGGCCTGGGACCGCATGAAGGCCGCGGCCATGTGGAAACCTGTGGAGCGACAGTGGGGCCGCAAGGTCCCTTACTTCTTTCCAGCCGTGTGCGCCGACGCCGACCTCGGCGCGCTGTTCCCCGACATGGACAACCTCGCGATTCCCATCGACACCGCCTTCCCCGAGAAATTCAATCTGGACCGCCTGAAGGACTACGCGCGTTGCCAGGAGAGGATGCGCAACCATCGCGCACTGATCGGGCATCTCCAAGCAGCGCAAGAAGGGGCGGCGGGCATCGCAAGGAAAAGCCGATCTCCGCAAGCCGATCTGGAAGTATTCCAGGCGTGGTCGCGACACGAGGAGTCGCTCAACTCAACGGAGGCGGCGGCTAATCAATTGCTCGAGGAACATCAGGGCGGCGATGTGGCCCTCCAGGTGAAGTACCACTTCTCGGCCATCGGGGGCATTCGCGTGCGCAGCAGGAGACGCGCAGAGGGCGCGGCGTCGCAGAACCTGAGCAAGCATATCCAGACGATTTTGCAGCCAGACGTCGTGAAGTTGGACTTTCGCAAGTGTTTCCTGACCCTGGCGCCCCAGGTCATGAAGCGTCTGAAGATAGATTTGAACGGCCACTCTTCGGAACAAGGGCGCGCCATCGAGGCCGTCGCCGCATGGCCCGACATCGACGCCAAGAAGACCGTAGCGCTCAGCGTTTTGTTTGGCAAGAAGAATGCGGGCGACCAGTGCCGGGACATGGAGCGCGACGCGAGAGTGCCCCGCTGGGCGGCGACGTCTGCCCTGCCCGAGGTCTTCCAGGCAGCCGTCGAGGACGGGGGAGACAACCCTGAGCTCACATGCGTGTCGAGGCTTCTTGAGGGGGCGGAGGACGCCTGCACCGAGGCGCTGGTGAAGTTCGTCCAGGAGAAGCGGGGCGGCGCAGTGTCCCACCTTGCCTGGGAGTTCGACGGCATCGGAGTGAACGTCGGCGTGCTTGAGGACGAGCACGCTTTCATCACGGATGCGGAGAACTCCGTATACAAGGCGACGGGTTATAAGATGCACCTCGCTGCGAAGAAGGAGCGCTCGTTGCTCGAGACGCTCGTGGCGAACGGGACGCAGCTGGCCGTCGACGACGGGCCTGGGAGCCCCGACCAGCTGGCCTCGTACTTCACCGATGGGAATTGCATCCAGGCCGCAGTGGTGACAGCCTGCGGGTGCGGCAAGCCGGCCCTTCCAGCCCCAGAGTCATTGTCGCGCTCCTATCGCGAGGTCGCCGAGCACTTCGAGATCAACCTCCACGGCGCCTGCGTCCTGGACGTGCTCTTCAAGCTCGCATCGGGCCGCGCCCTGGACCCAGGCGACTACCTCTTGCACAGCGAGCCTGGCGGGGAGGACCATTGCGTGCTCCTCCGCGCATCGGCAGTGGCTCAGGGGGAGAACGGGCCAGAGCAGACGTTCGATCTGATTGGCAGCCACTGTGGCCCAGAGGGGCG